CTAGCGCAGATAGCCCTCGTGTAGCTTTGCGCGAAATTCAAAAACAAACAAACTAATCATCACTAGTCATAACTGGGTAATATTTTTGTAACTAGGGGCAGTGCTGTAGCCACGGAGGCGCGAAAGGGCGCAATGCGCTCTCTAAAAAGCTGTCTTAAAAAATTAAATAATGCCTCTTTTTACTTTTTTCGAACTTGAATAATTCCAATGTACTCACGTATAAAAATATTAGGTAACCGAAGTATTAGTTGCTGTAAATCAATATTTATAAAATAAAATATATTTGTACTTATGCTTTCGGCTTTTACTAAAATAAGAATTATAACTGAATGTTAGACAACGTGTTGCTTCTTACACAAAACAAGAGCATAGTTGAATACATTAACTTATTCGTGTTGGAAGTGAATTTTGCGCAAGAACGGAACTGTATGCACTGATTGAACAGTGAAGATAAGAAGACACATAACTGAAACCACTCTCTCATTCTTGTTTATGCATTGCTAGATTTACAGTGTTTGAGGCATTATTATTGACGGAAAGATTTTATCCACGGCATCCATTTTGTTCTTCAGAGGTGAGGAAATGTTACTTTAATTGTTAGCAGGCACTTTAGTAAATTCTATATAATAGTTTAGGAATCGGTCTTATTACTTACCGGGGGTATTATATATATATATATATTTGCATTTAGAAGTTTTTAGGCCTACATATGTTCAAATGAGCAAGCACGCGTGATCGGTCAGCACACTGAATAGTTTTTCCCGTCTTTACGCTTAGACACCACCCTTACTGCCAGAGACTTTTTTTTGCGCTTTATCTTCCTCTATAGGCCTCAAAAACATTTTCAAATGCTTTATAGCCTAAAACTTCAACCGGTCGCACCCGGCAAGTGATGACGTTATAACGTGACTGCGCTGTGATTGGTTGAATAATCGGCACGTCACTTTCTTGGCCTGGTCAAAACACGCATTTAATGTATTCATCACTTTGCTCTAGCTGGCCTGTGGTCTCAGATATCGTGTCACAATGCCACAAACACACAAAGTTCTTCCTTTTATATATATAGATTACTTATT